TCTTTGTGTACACTGTATGCAAACAATTTAATACTTTTATTATAACAGGGAACAACATTTATAAAAGATTAAAACACAAAAACATTTTATTTATGGTATTTGTCTTTGGCTTTAATTTTTGATAACACCGTCTTATAAGGCGTTTGTATTTTCTGCACAAAAGTCAGTGTTTTTGCTTCATTTTAATCGACAAAATAAATCTCTTAACAAAATAAGAGGACATGTCTTAAACACGGAGGCAATCGTGAAAAAGCAAAACATGAAACTTAATTTCCTTTATGTCTGAAGTGAGGCAACAAAATAAGTAAAAGTAAACTGACATTAATTTTCTCTGATGGCATACATTGTAGCAGCATGGTTAATTGCCGCAACAAATTTTTAATATAATTGCCTGTATGATTAATTATTTACAACATTTTATTATAATTTAATGTAAATTAAATAGTTTACAATGCAATGTGTATGTCTAACAATTATTTTATATTTTTGAGATACATTGCAAATACAACATTTTAAAATTTAAATTGTCATTACCAAAAAATTCATTTTAATTTTTGGTAACACAATCGTCCTGGATTATTTGTTACTCATTAATGCCATTATGGCCATTATTTATGATCCATTTACATGTATAATATAAAAGTTTTAAAAAATAAATGTATACTTGAAAAAGGTTTTGTCCATTAATATTATCTTTATTTTTAATATTAAACATTATTTATTAAAAATAATTATTTACAGTACCTTATTTAAATATTATTATTATGTAGACTAATTTATAAGGGTTTAATGATTTATATTTGAACAAAATTATGGAAACAGTATACAATTTTCAGTAAGAATCAAACAGTATATTAATTTCTAAATATTTTATTTTATAATTATTGTATAATATTATTAGTTACTTAATAATTACTATCATTAAAAATAAATTAAAAGTCCTTTATTTAAATTACATTTTTATATCTGTAGTATATTTTTATATATCCAAATATCCTTGCTACTTTAAACATTTATATAATATATTCAGAATATAATATTCTAGTTAAATTGTATTTAAAGTATTAATCTATGTAAGATTAATTCATTTATTAGATTAGATAATCTGCACATTAATATAAAGTGTTTGACAAAAGGGTATTTATAGGTTTATTTAGCTTTAAAAATCGTAGAATTGAGCTAGAACAAAATAAAGATTTTTGCAACTATTGTTTTTTGGCACCGATCTATCGGTATGCCCAATTTTATCCAGACATAAGGAGAACGGTAGATATGACTGTCCATCAATAACTCAATAACTATAAGATGTAGGTAAGTTTTGATTTTTGGAAATTGTGCGCAGGGTCAATATGAAAAAACTAATTTCTGGATTTTGAGAAATTTTGCCTTATTGATTTTTAAAAATTCTTTTTATGTGAAATTTTGATGATTTGAAATTCATAAATCTCAGCAACGACTCAATGGATCGGGGTTATCTCACCTTCGTTCGAATTGTCTTTCAAAATACTAAAAATTATTCGCTTGCACCGATACTGAATTTTGTAAACAAAACTTTCTAGGTTAGAAATAAATTTTCCCTATGTATTTGAAAAATACAGGTAAAGGTGTAAAACAATAAAACAGATATAAAATGAATACATAGAGAAAGTTTATTTCTAACCTAGAAAGTTTTGTGTATACAGTACAGTATCGGTGCCAGCAAATAATTTTTAGTATTTTGAAAGACGATTCGAACGAAGATGAGATCACCCCGATCCATTGAGTCGTTGCTGAGATTTATGAATTTCAAATCATCAAAATTTCACATAAAAAGAATTTTTAAAAATCAATAAAGCAAAATTTCTCAAAATCCAGAAATTAGTTTTTTCATATTGACCCTGCGCACAATTTCCAAAAATCAAAACTTACCTACATCTTATAGTTTTTGAGTTATTGATGGACAGTCATATCTACCGTTCCCCTTATGTCTGGATAAAATTGGGCATACCGATAGATCGGTGCCAAAAAACAATAGTTGNACAGTCATATCTACCGTTCCCCTTATGTCTGGATAAAATTGGGCATACCGATAGATCGGTGCCAAAAAACAATAGTTGCAAAAATCTTTATTTTGTTCTAGCTCAATTCTACGATTTTTAAAGCTAAATAAACCTATAAATACCCTTTTGTCAAACACTTTATTATATTAAATTAATTAGTCCCCGGATTGAAGCAAATTTGTCGTCGCAGGCATTTCCCAAATATACCCGGGGCATAACAGCCAGATTCATCAAAGTAAGTTTGCATGTAATTACACGTCTATTAAAATTAAATGAAAATAAATATTTTTTGATTTTATTGTACACAAAAAATATGGCATTCTTATATAAGTTATTTATAAAACTTTTATATAATTAAATATTTACCCTGGTCATTATGTTAGTTAATGGTTCTTCGCAAGCGTATTTAGCAATCATGTGAGTGAGACTAAGTCCAAAACGTGATATCCCGTATTGTGTCAAGGTCTCATACCCTGGCATAAAATTTTAATTTTAATTCATTTATAATGATAAATAATTAGCTTTATTTTAGACAAGTTGTAATTATTATACCTTGTGCGCACGAGTAGCCAATAAAAGTATCTCGATTATCGTCGATCCAAGTTTTGTCCACTGACTGTAAGTTTGACAGATGGCTATTATCTACCATAACATCCCGGGCCTTAACATCAGTAACCGGCTCAATCCATGCGGAATTAGATTTTACATTAAAAGTGGGTGGAGCTATAAGAATATGTATTTCAAAATAATGAATTAATTCAGTATAATATATAATAAAAAACCAAAAATATGTTTTTAGTTAAAATTAGCAAGTAACAAAGTATTCTACATAAAAACTTAAACATAAATATTGATTCCTGATTAGGCAAAAGAGTAATAAAGAACCAGACTATTTTCTTTATAGAAATTATTTATATTTTTAAATATAAACAATCTTTCAATTTTGATATTGTTGCAAATAGAATACTGTACTGATAAAATTAATAAAATTTTAAACAAATAAACTATTGTTAATGGTAATTTTAAAATAATTACGTTCACGACAGCAAACAAAAAACATAATTTTTGGAATCCCTTTAAGTCGGCGGCAATTAATATCTGAGAAGATATTGGCAATGCTCTTTATATCAATTAAATCGCTCATAAGTGTAGCTTGGGCAACTTTATCATCCGGATTATCTCGCAAAATATCAATGGCCAAGCACCCTTTGTATCCAACTATTTTTTCATCTAAACCGTGACTAATAATTACCAAGGTAAATGCATCGCTATTTAGAGGAACTTTTTTAGCTTTCTCAGTTAAATTTTGTTCAATTTCCTTGGCGTCCCAATTGTAGTCCAGGCCATCTACTTTGAAATGTAGTTGCTCAAACACGTGTCGAAATCTTTCGCTTTCATTGTAACACTGTTTGGACACGTTATTTAATATGATACACTGACCAGGGACCTTTTTGGTCATTGGGTAATAGTTGGAACCTTCCAATCGCTCTCTAGCATGGATTACCCTGATTAAGTATATGGCATAGATCAATAATAAACCTTAATAGCCCTGTAAATGCTATTTTAGTATAATATTTTGTAAGACTTAGTTAACCTATATAATTTTAGTTATTAATAATGCATCAATATTAAAGAACTACGTAAACTTTTAATAATGCTTAAATATTATATATTTGACTATATCCATACGATTTGTAATGTAATATTTATCACCAATATATTACAAAATATTAATGCATAGCTCACTATTATAACTATGATAAATTAATTAGTACGTACTTTATGAACGGAGTGTACGTCAACTCGCCAACCGTATCGGAAATATTAAAATTCTTTAATTCATTAGCAATATCATCTAAATGAACTTTGTCTAATAGTTTAATAATCTCGTTGCACCCATACCTACGCTTGGTGAATTCCGTGAATATAAACACAAACCTCTCACCATCAGTATCAAGGTCCTTTTATGAAAATAAGATGTTTTTAAATTTAATTGATTTAATACAACAAACTACACCTACAAAGTATATATCAACCGTTTTATATGACAATATCAGTGTTTTAAAATAGTTGTGTTAAAGCAGTATTGAAAAATGCGATCTTGTTTTATTAAAACACATATACTGTATAAAACTTACCTTAACAACTGTTTTCATTTCATTTGCAAATGATAAGTGGTTTTCGAGTTCAATCAAAAATAATTTCCAATTATCATCTTTAAAATTGACCATGCGTTTTATTTTTACAAATATTTTAAAATAGTTTTCACGGTTAGCTATTTTTTCCATGATTACTTTTGTTTCAAAATTTTACATTTATTTCCACAGACACTACGAATAGGGAGTTGTATTAATCAAATTTAGGTATTACATATATATATATATATATATAGGTACAGTGTAATAGGTATCAAGATAATTTTGTTATGGAAACACAATATATTTTATTACAGTTATAAACATTTATGATTCAATTCCTCCCCCTTCCCCTTCCTAATAATGTATCTTTCCTGTTATGAAAATTTTAATTTTTTAATATAAATAATAAATTTTATTTATATAATGTTAATAGTAATCCTTGTTTAATTTTTTCATAAAATATCAATTATTTATTAATGTCTTATTAATTTAATTAAACATTGTATATTTTTCAGTATATAGGTATTTCATGTTAAGTAAAAATAAATGTTTACGGGTGTGGGAGTGAGTGTGTGGGAACAGATGTCGGTTTCTAACGTCTAATATCGATAACATTAAAAACTGACTATTTTTTATTATGGGATTAAGTGTCCAATTTATTAGCGCAAATATTTTACTTGAGATAATTGCCATGATGCTAACATTTATTGAAAGTCACATTTCACATTTTATGTGATTAATAGGTTTTTACTGTAATTACTAAATAAATGACTACAAAAATAATGACATTAATTAAATAGTTCACAAAAGATTTAATTTATTTTTAGTGACAAAATTTTTATAATGAAAATTTAACTTCTATAGATGGTGAGATATTAATATTATATTTTTTATATTTATTAATTAATAACTTTAAAATAATTATTAATTTTAATTATTCAAAACACTTTTAAATAACATTATTTCTATGGACGGCACTTCATAAACACTTTAACGGCAATGAACCGTAAAATTACAAACAAAGTATTTTAAGGTTTACGGAAAATATTTGCGTATAAATTCATATATAAAAGTACTAAATATATTCATGTATATTAATCCATAAAAATAATGTTATTTTAATGTGTAAAATAAGTATGTCAATATATTTATAACTGGATTTACGGGACAATTTTATAATATTCGCCAAGTTTGATTAATTCAATTTGTCAATATGGACATATAATTTCCTTTAATACCGATTATAATTGCACAATTTGCTGACAAGTCACGATGTCCACACTTAGCCTCAGTTGCTCAGACTATTTCTCATTTCATTTTCTACAATAAAGTTTACTGATCAATGCTATTTAAACTCCAAAAGAGAATATTTGTATATTTATAGACAGCCACATTTAGAACATGGCCACAAATATCCTTGATAATTCTAATATATGTGACGATGATCTGATCGAATCGATAAAATTAATACACGTTTTTGACGATATTCACGGCTATAACATAATATATGTCACAAACGATGACCAGGCCTACGGAATGGGAACCAATGTGTCCGGGAAATTAGGCCTCGGCCACGGTCAGCCAGTTAACACGCCGACAATAATACCGGAATTATGTGACCGCGGTATTACCCAGTTCATAATTGGAGACGATTTTGTTATAGCATTAACGTCCAAGAAAAATGTGCACACATGGGGCCGTAATGGCAAAGGGCAATTAGCGAGGTTTCCAATCGACGATAACTATCAACTACCGAATGAGCTAGCTTATTTTAATGGGAAAAATGTGTGTCAAATAAGTTGCGGCAATTATCACGCCCTTGCCCTGACTGGCGAGGGCTTAGTATATGGTTGGGGCTATAATAACGATGGAGAAGTAGGTTGTGGTGTCACAGTGGGTCCGGTGACTGAGCCCCAAAAATTGCAGTTCGAGCACCACCAGGCACAGTTTATCATTAAGAGTATCTATTGTAGCGAATATTGCTCATTCGCTATCACCATGGACGGACTGGTATTTAGTTGGGGCATGAACCAGTTTAGTAGTTTAGGTCATGGTAGCACCGATAACATATCGATGCCAAGGTTAATTTTGGAGATGGATCAAATTAAATGTGTATGCTCGAGCACATTTTCGTCATATTTCTTGTCAACTGAAGGTGTGATATATTTTTGCGGACAATACGTTGTTGAAAATGGCGAACGATTATCACACGATACGTTGGTCGTGTTGAATGGCGACGGCGAAATTAATGATCTAAAGATATTGGACTCGCTCAAAAATGGTATATATATGGTGACTGCCGTGATGAACCAAAAAGTGTACGAAATCGGTTTCGATATTAAGCTTCACGAGACCGATTTTTCCGATTGCGAAAAGTATTATTTGCGAAATTATAACAAAACATATACGACGATAAACTTGGACAACCATAATGATTTTAATTTCAACACCAAACGCGAGTATTTATCAAGTTATAAAAGTTCCTTAAAAACGATTTTCGCCGATACACAAACATTGTTATCAGGTATGTGCACTTAAAATGTATCTAGGACATATGAGATTCCAAGTGTTGACAGGTTCTTCTATATTGTTTTTGAGACTGTAATCCATTTTGTATCGGATTTAAGTTATACTGATTTTTCATTTCACGATGAAAAGCAAGCAAAGAAACACTTAATTAAAATTTGTTTAGTAATTAATTATTTAATAGTTATTATAGATTATTACAAGTTATAAAAATTTTAAAATAAGATATTTTTTCATCAAGTATCTCAGAGATAATACGTTTCGAGTCTCAGTTATTCCTATGAAGATTACACAGTATATTAAGAAAATATTTTAACTATATCAATTAGTAATGCTACTAGCACAAGTACTATATTAATAACTGGGCTCAGTAGGCCATACTTGTTACGATATGATTTAGCATATATATAGATTTTACTGTTAAAATAATCGTTCATTAATTTTAAAACTTGTTTCAGACCTAGCTAAGATAGATCCACTAAACGGCATAATGGAATCAATAAAATTATTTCATGTGTTCGACGACGAGAGGGGATATAATGTGATATTCATCACTTCCGATGACATGGCCTATGGCTACGGATCCAATCAAGTTGGGCTGTTAGGTTTTGATCACAATGTGCCTGTTACATCGCCGCAACTCATACCTGGATTATGCGACCAAAAGATCACTCAATTTATTCCGGGACTCGATTTCATATTGGCCGTGAACTCAGACAAACAGGTTACAATTATTTAAATATAGCCAATATAGTATTTTGTGGTTCGAATTCAAATATTGTTTCAGAAGGAATTTCTCGATACGGAAAGTTGGCAATGCTAGTTTAATTTGTATGTGCATAAACCTAATTAAGTCATTAATAAATGTGCATGGTCTAAAAGTGCGATTCCGGACAATAAGTTGGTCGTTTTAGGGTCAGTAAGTTGGCTGACATGATCATTTTTGTATGAATTAACGTTATTTGAATAGTCGGTAAGTACTAAAAGTTTGGACGGCTCTCAACCGTATAGTGCGCACTCAATGTGCGGCAAATTTTCCGGTAAATGTATACATAATAATGTAGTCATATAAAGTGCTATTCAAATATGACCATGTCAGCAACTTATTGACCTCAATATGACCAACTTATCGGCCGGAATCGCACTTTTTGACCATGCACATTTATTAATGACATAATTAGGTTTATGCACATACAAATTAAACTTGCATTGCCAACTTTCCGTATCGAGAAATTCCTTCTCAGTTAAAATACGTTGATGCAATATTTTTATATCAAATTTATAGGCAAATACGGAATATTTTACATCAAGTCAGTTATTTATACAAAAATGATCTAGGCTATAATGTTAGAATATTAAGTCTGTAATCCATTATTTTTATAGATTCCCATTAATTAAACTATAAATTATAACTAGTTTATTTAAAGTATTTCAATAGTAAATAGAAAACAATTTCAACAAATTGATTCCTGTCATTGTAATATAAGTGTATATACTTTGTGAATGCCCATACTTACATCCAGGTCACAGATGTAGCGCTTAACCCAGTGGCCTGGATGTGAGTACCAGACGACTGTGAGTGCTGGACATAAGGTTCTTTATATACGACGTTCCTATGAATAGATCCAGTTGTGGTCACCAGGAATACACTCAATGTTAACAAATTCAACCATAAATAATAAAGACTTGGTATTGAAATACATATTAAACACACACACACACAAAGAGATGTGCACTAAATGTGTGCCAAAATACAGTGATTTGTCTTAATCATAGCATATGATAGCTAAATGTGAGAATAATTACAGTATAATTGAGTAGATTATGACTGGAATTAAACAATGAGGATAAATATGACTATAAGAGTAATTGACACGATAGTGAGTCGGTCTAACTATGCACTCATATGTAGCTCCATTAAGAATATTTTTTTTAATAAATAAAAAGATCCAATATAATTTAGTTTTACAAGCATGCTCAAAATACAATTTATCAAAATCATTAGATCCTTGGATGGGGTCACAACAATATGGGTCAATTAGCCAGACGACCGGTGGACTTACAACAAGCGCCCAACATCATCAGATTCTTTAATGATAAAAATGTGACCCAGCTCAGTTGCGGCTACATTCACGCCATGGCATTGACTCACGATGGCTCAGTGTACGGCTGGGGTTGCAACACAAGCGGTCAGATAGGTTGCGGCTATACGTGCGACTACATTGCCGAACCGACTTTATTACAGTTTCGACATGACGGACGTGAATATGATGTTAAAACAATATATAGTAGTGGAAATTCTGTCTTTGCAATAACCGAGGACAATAGTGTGTTTAGTTGGGGCTTGAACGATTATTTTAACCTCGGTCACAATTCGACCGATATCTACGTTAATAGTCCGCGACTCGTGGTGGATATTAGTAACGTAAGCTCAGTGTGCTCGAGGGGCATTGCGACTTTATTTCTAACCCACGATGGTGATTTGTACTTGTGCGGCCGGTATGTCCTAACTGATGGTGATGAATATTTAATGCATAAAACTCTTAAACGTTTACCGAATTACGGAAATGTTGAATTGATTAAGCATGTGTTTTCGTGGCATAATAAAATATGGGGATTAGTGGCTAGTATAAACGGTGTGATATGCGATATGTCCTTGAAAGAACAATTTTACCATAGCACGCATAGGTCAATATTTGAGTATTATATTACAAAGCTAAAAATCACTCATGCAACAATATGTTATAGTGATTTTTGTGAATATGATTACGAATCTAAAGAACAATTTATTGAATATTGTTTGAAATATTTAAATGAAATTTTGGTTAATGTCAAACAAATGTCCAAAGGTGAACCTATTCATTATTATACATTATTAAAATTAATTGTTAATTTGTTGGTTAATATATAGACAACAGGAAATTTGATTCCAATACTAGCCCATATATCACGCATTATGAACAATTGTCCAAAATTGGATCAGGGTCATTTGGCACGGTTTATAAAGTGAAACAAAAATATAACCAATTACAATATGCTATTAAAATAGTCGGCTTTAAAGGTAACTATGTTTATTATTTGGTATAGTCATATAGAGTTTGTTCCAAAATTTAGAAACATGCACAATTGTAATGTTATAAATACTGGCTATTATAATATTGTTTATAAATGGAATTCACTGTTCATACTGTATATACCTATGTATAGGTATAATATATATGCAATTAATTATGTTATATTTAATATAGATTTGTTTTTATAGCGAACTCAGATTTACAAGATCTATCCAAAGAAGCAGAAAAGTTAGTGAGAGTTCGATCGGAGTTTGTGGTCCAATATAATGATTTCTGGGTGGAAAGCGATCGCATGTTCGTACAAATGGAGTTATGTTCCCGGAATCTACAGAAAATTCTCGACTCTAAACCGAATGTATTTGGTAGAGAACCGGAAGAGCCTATGAATGCAATGGAGTATTACATGTCGTGTCTTATAATGTGGGAGCTCTTGGAATGTCTGCAATATTTGCATGGCTTAAGTCCACCGGTAATTCATAGGGACTTAAAACCAGAGAACATATTAATCGCGATTGGCCCAAGGAACGGTAGGTTTTTCAAAGTCGGCGATTTTGGCCTGGCTACTATTAACGAACACTACTCCGAAAAGGGAAATCCTAAATATTTGGCACCCGAAGTGAATAATGAGAGTTTATATACGTATAAAATTGATATTTATAGTCTGTCGAGGATTTGTGAACTTGATATATTTGAATTTGATATAGACGCTCTAGATAAGTATGTCTAATCACGAGTATTTATTAATTAACATGCTCATTTATTATTTTTGTATATATATATAGTGGTGAAATGTATTCATCAGGAAATGAAGTCTTAAGCAAATGTGTGGTAAAGTTAAGGGATGTATTGGTTTTGATGCAATCGGATGACCCGGATATTAGACCAGAGTGTAAGGATGTGTTACAAACACGGAATGAATGGGAACTAGACTTGAAATATGTTCGAAATGATCCCGAGTATGAATCCATGTTAACTATGCTTAACGAGTATGATGATAAATTTTTCATTGAGTATTTTAATGCTAAAATAGCAACAAATATTTGAAATTATTTGTAAAATACATTAGTAATTAGTAATATTTAATTACTTGTATATAATTGTCAATCAGATATTTCTTATAAAACAGATTTAATTAAATTTTATTGTAAAATAAAATTTTAATTTCGAAATTATTTGTGCTCGCACCCATATTTATCGGGACCATCCCCTGCGCCGTATAAGCCGTGGTTAATAGCCCGGAGCATAGGGTAGCTAACATGACAGCATTTGGCACCAAAATCGTCCTGGATAATTTGCCATACGATGATACCACCATACCCATTGTCTACGACCCATTTG